TGTTGACATTTTGAAACTGCATAGGCCTATTTTGTAAATTATGCTTGGCGGGCCATATATATAATATAGACTATTAAGACAGCTGCGGGCCGCTTAAAATTCATCCGCGGGCCGTAGTTTGGACACCCCTGGCTTAATACCTACCCAATGTTCAGGGCGTGACAAAAGGATGTCGTGATCAACTGTGTCAAAAGCGGCACTTAAATCCAATAAAATCAAAACTGCATTTTCACCACTGTCAACCGCAAGTAGCAAATCATTCATCATTTTTAGCAAAGCCGTTTCAGTGCTATGATAGGTTGTAAAACCTGATTGAAATGGATCAAATACCAGAGTCAAATTTAAAAACGGAAGTAACTGTGATTGGACAACTTTTTCCATAACTTTTGAAAGAAAAGGCAATTTTGAGATAGGACGATAATTATTCAGACATTTTACATTAGCATTGGGCTTTTTAAGCAGCGGGTGGACAACTGCATGCTTTAAAAATGCAGGAACAGTGCCAGAGACTAAACAGGAATTGATAATTGTTTGGATGCTAGAACCAATTATATCAAAAGAACCTTTAATGATATCAGAAGGAACAACATCCTGGGGCGAGGTTGTAGATTTCACCTGCATCACTAAGTTCCTCAGATCAAACAAAGACACTGGCTGAAAGCTATTCTATATAGAGTCCAAAATATCTGAACAAGAAGAATTAAAGATAGAAATTAAATTTTCTGGGCTTGAAGATTGCTCAGCAGCAGCTAAGATTGCAGTTGAAACATCATTTGTTTTATACATATCAGAAAAGTGATTTGCAGTGAGAGAATTAATACAACGAGAATAAACACCTGTATTTTTAGCAGCATGCATAGAACTTGATAATATGACATTAAAAACAATAGGCTTATGATCTGAGAAAGAAGCATCTTCAATATTAATATTATCAATGGGAAATATGACATAACCAAGTCAAGAGTATGCCTAAGTACATATGTAGCTTTATCAACATGCTGAATAAAACCAAAAGAGTCCACAACATGAGTAAACTCAGTGACCATAGGCTTTCCAGAACAGCAGACGTGAATATTAAAATCACCCAAAATTAACAGATGATCATATAATGTAATATGAGATATGAAATCAGAAAACTTCTTTATAAAATCTTTATCTGGCTTTGGAGGTCTGTAAATCAAGACACATAGCAACGGAGTGGTATAGGAGATTCCATCAGTACACATTGTGATTCGAATGTAGAAAAGTTCTCAGCAAAGATTGTCTGTATTTTGTACTGGTTCCTAAAAACCATAGCCAACCCACCTCCTCTTCGAACATATCTTGGGGTGCTAATAAAGCTACAATTTAATGGACATAGTTCACCAAAGATGGATGACTCATCAGTCCATGTCTCAGTTAAAAATAAAAAGTCTAACCCGCGACAAGTAAAACAGTCATTCAAAATAAAAGTCTTATTAGACACAGACCTGGCATTAACCAGGGCCATTTTTACGTGAGAATGAACAGTTTGTATCTGTGATTGTCGGACATACTTGAGTGGAAGAAGATTTTGGAGATTCACACCTCTGCTTTGAACGCGCAGTCTTGCAGGAGCGCAGTAGTCAGGTGTCCGATTCTGATCCGTAACGATGGGCAGATGATTGGCGTATCTCACATCCCACGAATGCCGAGTCAGATAAAGGCCATTTTGTCCAGTCAGAAGTGTGGAAGAGCAACAAGATGATTACGTCGAGGAGAATTCTCTCCTAATCCTCACGCGGATACATCCGAGGTTACCCCTCTTTCTGCGACGTTTCCGCTGGTAGATGATACAACAAGGTAAACGGCGAACACATGCCGCCGGTAGATGAGAGAATGTAGAGTGGAAACGATCATGCGTGACGGGGCAGTCTTTAGATTGAGTCTCCAGCGAACTTCTGATGTGCAGCAATATTTGGCGATCATAAGTTATGATAGCATCAACACAGTGTGTTAACAGCGGCAGCAGAAGAAACATAAATAGCCAGACGGCCAATCTGATATTTAAAAGCTGAGGGGCCAGACGGCAAGTCGACAAACACACTGGCGCCATCTTGGATCCGATTCCTGATCAACAATCTATTTATATGCAGAACTTCATAGTAGACTTAGAAACAAGGGTATGAATTTGTATGTCAAACAGAAAAACAATCATTTTCTCTGTCCAGTAATTCAAATTCAGTAGCCTCTGCTGTCATTAACTGCTCATTTGATGCTGAGAGCTTTCATTATCTAGTGGCTTTCTGAAAAGCAAGCAACCCTGTAATAATAATAATAATAATAATAAATCACAGCTCATGCATATCTAATGTGGTAACCCAAGTCAGTAGCATTTTCACCAATCCTGTCGTGTTTTACACAATTTAATGTAGTTGAATCACACACAGGCCTAGTGCTTGCTCAGGGTGGACTGAAGCCAAGACTATGACAGACATGAAAAATCACAGCTCATGCATGTCTCATGTGGTAACCCAAGTCAGTAGCATTTTCACCAATCCTGTCGTGTTTTACACAATTTAATGTAGTTGAATCACACACAGGCCTAGTGCTTGCTCAGGGTGGACTGAAGCCAAGACTATGACAGACATGCTCTTAGATTCATTAAGCCACTTCAGATGGCTGTTCCAGGGGGCACAGCAGGTCGTATTCACCCAGGTGGAAAATAGGTGAGGAGTGAGCTATCAGAATGAAGATGAATGCCAAGAGGCCCTGTGTGCTGCTAATGGCTTTTGTAGAACACACTGTCTGATGTAATTGAATAACACAATCAAATGCACACAGTAAGAGTGGAGTGATAC